GAGCCTTAACACTCATCGGATCGCATACATCAGTATGTATTTATTTCCAATAAGTCAGTTGCTCGCTCCATTGTTCCGGAGAATGGCGTTTTAGTCATCTTGCCCATGAGGCATGGTTCGCAAGCATCAAGTGATTCCAAAAATCCATCAGCATGGAGTTTCTTCATGCGCTTTACACCAATATGACCTAAATGGCAATGCCGCAAATAAGTTGCACTATCATTATTAACTTTGCATCTTTTGGTTTCAATATTATGATTATGTGTATCACTACGATCGAGATCCAACGAACTATTTTCATTGGGTGTGTAACCATATAAGGTTTTGTTCATGTAAACAGAATAACAATTTATTCTCTTACTTAAATGAATAACCGTATTACAATAAACATGATCAAATCATATTCATGCTCAATGCAAACACCAAATAACACTTATTTAGGTTCAACACTAATCCCGAAAGTATAGGGAGTGTGCGATGATGATCATATCAATCTTGGAACCACTTCCAACACACATCGTCACTTCACCCTTAACTAGTCTCTGTTTATTCTGCAACTCCCGTTTCGAGTTACTAATCTTAGCAACTAAACTAGTATCAAATACTGAGGGGTTGCTATAAACACTAGTAAAGTACACATCAATAACATGTATATCAAATATACTTATGTTCACTTTGCCATCCTTCTTATCTGCCAATCACTTGGGGTAGTTCCACTTCCAGTGACCAATCCCTTTGCAGTAGAAACACTTAGTCTCAGGCTTAGGACCAGACTTGGGCTTCTTCACTTGAGCAGCAACTTGCTTGCTGTTCTTCTTGAAGTTCCCCTTCTTCCCTCTACCCTTTTCTTGAAACTAGTGGTCTTGTCTACCATCAACACTTGATGTTTTTCTCGATTTCTACCTTCGTCAATTTCCGCATTACGAAGAGTTTGGGAATCGTTTCCGTTATCCCTTGCATATCATAGTTCATCACGAAGTTCTACTAACTTGGTGATGGTGACTATAGAATTCTGTCAATCACTATCTCATTTGGAAGATTAACTCCCACTTGATTCAAGCGATTGAAGTACTCAGACAATCTGAGCACATGCTCACTAGTTGAGCGATTCTCCTCCATCTTTTAGCTATAGAACTTGTTGGAGACTTCATATCTCTCAACTCGGGTATTTGCTTGAAATATTAACTTCAACTCCTGGAACATCTCATATGGTCCATGACGTTCAAAACGTCTTTGAAGTCCCGATTCTAAGCCGTTAAGCATGGTGCACTTAAACTATCAAGTAGTCATCATATTGAGCTAGCCAAACGTTCATAATGTCTGCATCTGCTCCTGCAATAGGTCTGTCACCTAGCGGTGCATCAAGGACATAATTCTTCTGTGCAACAATGAGGATAAACCTCAGATCACGGATCCAATCCACATCATTGCTACTAACATCTTTCAACACAATTTTCTCTAGGAACATATCAAAATAAACACAGGGAAGCAACAACGCGAGCTATTGATCTACAACATAATTTGCAAAATACTACCAGGACTAAGTTCATGATAAATTTAAGTTCAATTAATCATATTACTTAAGAACTCCCACTTAGATAGACATCCCTCTAATCCTCTAAGTGATTACGTGATCCAAATCAACTAAACCATGTCCGATCATCACGTGAGATGGAGTAGTTTCATTGGTGAACATCGCTATGTTGATCATATCTGCTATATGATTCACGCTCGACCTTTCGGTCTCCGTGTTCCGAGGCCATATCTGTGTATGCTTGGCTCGTCAAGTATAACCTGAGTATTCCGCGTGTGCAACTGTTTTGCACCCATTGTATTTGAACGTAGAGCCTATCACACCCGATCATCACGTGGTGTCTTAGCACGAAGAACTTTCGCAACGGTGCATACTCAGGGAGAACACTTCTTGATAATTAGTGAGAGATCATCTTATAATGCTACCGTCAATCAAAGCAAGATAAGATGCATAAAAGATAAACATCACATGCAATCAATATAAGTGATATGATATGGCCACCATCATCTTGTGCTTGTGATCTCCATCTTCGAAGCACCGTCATGATCACCATCGTCACCGGCGCGACACCTTGATCTCCATCGTAGCATCGTTGTCGTCTCGCCAATCTTATGCTTCCATGACTATCGCTACCGCTTAGTGATAAAGTAAAGCATTACAGCGCGATTGCATTGCATACAATAAAGCGACAACCATATGGCTCCTGCCAGTTGCCGATAACTCGGTTACAAAACATGATCATCTCATACAATAAAATTTAGCATCATGTCTTGACTATATCACATCACAACATGTCCTGCAAAAACAAGTTAGACGTCCTCTACTTTGTTGTTGCAAGTTTTACGTGGCTGCTACGGGCTTAAGCAAGAACCAATCTTACCTACGCATCAAAACTACAACGATAGTTTGTCAAATTGGTGCTGTTTTAACCTTCACAAGGACCGGGCGTAGCCACACTCGGTTCAACTAAAGTTGGAGAAACTATCATCCGCAAGCCACCTATGTGCAAAGCACGTCGGAAGAACCGGTCTCGCGTAAGCGTACGCGTAATGTCGGTCCGGGCCGCTTCGTCCAACAATACCGCCGAACCAAAGTATGACATGCTGGTAAGCAGTATGACTTATATCGCCCACAACTCACTTGTGTTCTACTCGTGCATATAACATCAACATATAAAACCTAGGCTCTGATACCACTGTTGGGGAACGTAGTAATTTCAGAAATTTTCCTACGCACACGCAAGATCATGGTGATGCATAGCAACGAGAGGGGAGAGTGTGATCTACGTACCCTTATAGATCGACAACGGAAGCGTTAACTTGGTTGATGTAGTCGTACGTCTTCATGGCCCGACCGATCAAGCACCGAAACTACGGCACCTCTGAGTTCTAGCACACGTTCAGCTCGATGACGATCCCCGGACTCCGATCCAGCAAAGTGTCGGGGAAGAGTTCCGTCAGCACGACAGCGTGGTGACGATCTTGATGTACTAGTGTCACAGGGCTTCGCCTAAGCACCGCTACAATATTATCGAGGACTATGGTGGAAGGGGGCACCGCACACGGCTAAGAATATGATCATGTGGATCAACTTGTGTCTCTAGGGGTGCCCCTTGCCTCCGTATATAAAGGCTCAAAGGGGGGGCTAGCCGACCAAGAGGAGGCGCGCCAAGTAGGACTCCCCCCTTTCCTAGTTGGAATAGGATTCGCGGAGGGGGGAAAAGAGGAGAGAGAGGAGGAAGGGGGGCCGGCCCCCTCTCCTTGTCCTATTCGGACCAAGGGTGGGGGAGGGGCGCGCGGCCATCTATGGCCACCTCTCCTCTCTTCCACTAAGGCCCACTAAGACCCATATACCTCCCGGGGGGTTCCGGTAACCTCCCGGTACTCCGGTAAAATCCCGATTTCACCCGGAACACTTACGATATTCAAACATAGGCTTCCAATATATCAATCTTTATGTCTCGACCATTTCGAGACTCCTCGTCATGTCCGTGATCACATCCGGGACTCCGAACAAACTTCGGTACATCAAAATGTATAAACTCATAATATAACTGTCATCGTAACCTTAAGCGTGCGGACCCTACGGGTTCGAGAACAATGTAGACATGACCGAGACACATCTCCGGTCAATAACCAATAGCGGAATCTGGATGCTCATATTGGCTCCTACATATTCTACGAAGATCTTTTATCGGTCAGACCGCATAACAACATACGTTGTTCCCTTTGTCACCGGCATGTTACTTGCCCGAGATTCGATCGTCGGTATCCCATACCTAGTTCAATCTTGTTACCGGCAAGTCTCTTTACTCGTTCCGTAATACATCATCCCGCAACTAACTCATTAGTTGCAATGCTTGCAAGGCTTAAGTGATGTGCATTACCGAGAGGGCCCAGAGATACCTCTCCGACAATCGGAGTGACAAATCCTAATCTCGAAATACGCCAACCCAACATGTACCTTTGGAGACACCTGTAGAGCTCCTTTATAATCACCCAGTTACGTTGTGACGTTTGGTAGCACACAAAGTGTTCCTCCGGCAAACGGGAGTTGCATAATCTCATAGTCATAGGAACATGTATAAGTCATGAAGAAAGCAATAGCAACATACTAAACGATCATGTGCTAAGCTAATGGAATGGGTCATGTCAATCAGATCATTCAACTAATGATGTGATCCCGTCAATCAAATAACAACTCTTTGTCCATGGTTAGGAAACATAACCATCTTTGATTAACGAGCTAGTCAAGTAGAGGCATACTAGTGACACTCTGTTTGTCTATGTATTCACACATGTATTATGTTTCCGGTTAATACAATTCTAGCATGAATAATAAACATTTATCATGATATAAGGAAATAAATAATAACTTTATTATTGCCTCTAGGGCATATTTCCTTCACACAGTGTGAAGGGCATACCCTCACTCAGATGAATCTCACTTGGTTTATTCAGGAGGCCAACGTCCAAGAGGATCAATGGAGATGGAGATGTCCAATAAGCATTGAAGCGTGAGTTACTAGTCATTATCATAGACAACCAAGAGTGTATGTTGCCTCTTGTAATGGGCACATGTAACGTAGCTAGGTGGTAAACCTGGGGGTATAACATACTTTATATAGGTATACCCCGACGCTCAGTTACATGTAACCCTTGTAATCGTAAATCCATACGCAAGAAACACCTCCCCTTAGGACAGGACTAGGGCTTTTACCTCCACCGTAGAGGGCATAAACTTGTATACTTCTCTGCATCACCACTTGTGTCTTGTTAGATCAAGCCTTGTTCTTCTACCTCTATTACTATCGGATTTATCCCATATGGCAAGCTCCAACTTCTGATGACACATCGAGACTGGAGGAAACTAGTCAAACACATCGGAAAGAACCGACTATCGAAGCCCTGTCGTGGCCCTACACATCTCGCAACATCACCGTTGCGAAATAGGACGCCACACCAACATGAAGGAAGGAAACCACCCCCACAACCATGCAAAGCAAAGCCGCCACCGGTCTTTCACGCCCACTAGCTCAAGATTCATGCCCTCAAGAAGGGGGCGATCCCAAGCATCGCCATCGCTCACTCTACTAGAGCTAGGGTTTTCCCCCGAAGCTAAGGGAAGGAGAGTTTTTAGGTTTTATTGCGGTGTGACCAAACCGTGTTATAGAACACAAAAGTCAAAGTGTGAATTTAGCATGGGTCAATTGCTTCTTGTAGAATCTGTCTACCCAGGTAAAGGTTCTAGACATGATACAAAGGCTTGCAATTTCTGGATTTGATCAAGTATTCCGTTGCAACTATCTCGTTGGAAGAAAATGTGGTTGTCAACCATAAGGCATTAATACTGACTTGTCAATTTCAATTTGCCAACTTAATCTTTTAGGAAATGATTTGTTCGTGTTGCAGTTGTACAAGGAAAATCAAATCCTTTTTGAAATCCCAACTTCTATTTGAAATTCAGTAATGATCCATCCTAGCGCGTGTCGCGTTGCGTGCAGAATTTACTCCCAATGTGGATCCATGGACACTTAGATGGGCGCAGCCAATCGCGGTGGATAGTCATGCAGAGACGTGTCAAAGTTGGACGCCTACTGCTCCACCCAACGCCTTCGCTCATTCGTATATAGACCCCTCGTCAAGCAAAACTATTTTTTTAGTTTTTTCTTCTCTGGTTTCTTCTTCTCCTCCTCCTCCTCTGCGGGGAAAAAGGAATCCATTGTTCGTCATCCCAGGGTGTTCAAGAACTTCCACATTCCTCCCCCTCCCTTGATTTCTTCCAAGTAACACTAATCTGATCGTGTCATCTGCCTCATGGATCTGTTCGTGTTGCTAATTTGAGGATTTCATATGTTCCAGGACATGAGGACAAGGGCACAATGCAAACGACGGAGGAGGACGTCACACTGCACATGCTGGAGAAGGAGGGCACAATGCAAACACCGGAGGAGGAGAGGACAATGAACACGACGATAACATGTGAGTTGCACATGTCGCCGCTTAAATGCTTTTGTTCATGCAACTTGTCAAAAAATATGTGCATGTTTGCTTGATGTGCTAAACGTTTAAATTCGGAGGGAATCAAAGTGTTTGAATGAAAGAACATACTATTTTTTTGCGAAGACTAAGATATGGCGACTCTGATGTTGCTCCCCATTCATCTAGTCTCCAAATGCATATGAGTAGGGATGAAAACAAAGCAGAAACGAACGGACCTAGGTCCTACCATATTTGTTTTAATTTTTGTGTGGAAGCAGAAAACAATATAGAAACATCGGAAATGAATATGAAAACAGATATTATCGGAAATAAACACAGGGCGAATATGGCGCAGACACAGTAACAAAAGCATGTGTTCACCGGAACTTAAAAATCCCTTGACCATAGGGAAAACACAAGCAACCCAACTTATTTAAATCAACTCTTTTTGCTGAGACGAGGATGGCCAGACAGAGTCTGGGAAGAAAAGGAGAAGCACCAGACGGCCAGAAAATTGCAAGATCACAAAATGAATGGTTCAGATGTTGATGGCCTGAGAAGGCAGTGATTAGCCTCAGTTTTACTGTCCTAAATGTGTTGGTGTCTATTTTTTCTATAATTATCTTGATAGAAGATTTTAAAATGCACGAGTATAAGAGATCTATCGCAATTACCTTCTCTATTTAAGTATTAACCATCCTATTAATATTTAGGTGCGCGTGCTTAGAATTATTGCTTCCTGCGTCACTAAAGTGTTCTTTCCCCTCGTAATTATCTTGCTACATCAGATTCCCCTCCCTCTTGACAACCTTAGCATTTCTACAACCAAGTTGTTGTATTCGCTTCACTCTTCGCTCCTCCTCCTCCAAGAAACAAAGTTAGGGTTTTAGCCTCTCGTCGGCGTCGCTGCAGGTCCACCTCGTCTCCGGTGACTCTAGGATCATGGGGGCGCGGTGGATCTTGCCAAGTGCCGGCGGGAGGGCTCCATTTTCAGTAGTTGTTTTTTGTCTTGTTAGGGTTTGTGTCCTGCTCAGGAAGACGAGACGGCGGCGGCTCCCTGAAGATGGAATAAATGTCTCCCCGTCTAGCCCCAGGCGGCGATTTTAGGCGCCCTCTGAGGCCAACGGCTGAAAATGCTCTTACCATGAAGATAAGTGGCGAAACAGATCATATCAGGTACCATTTGCTCGGGGATTGTTGCCTCAAATTGTGTCATCTTTGGTTGGTGTTTTTTTTTCTTGACTTTGGAAAAAACATGTTTGAAAAATGATAAACTCCAAAAGTTACGAATTCTCAAAATTCGGTAACTCTTCTACAACAAACAAAGAGCTTCAATTTCCTCGGGGAAAAAAAGAGTTCAGCATTCACATTCGCCAAGAGTCGATTTTCCTGAGCCTCTGTCCTCCGAGAAGCGAGTCGCCGCCGGCTGCATCTCCGTCACCCATCGCCGCCTAAACCAAGGTACCACCTTTCCCGACTCACCACGGCGAGGGCGAGGTCACCACCGCCGGCTGCTACCCGGGTCGATTTTCCTACGCCAGATCGATGATATCCTCTCTCCAACTACAGATCCACCAGACCTAACCTGTCCCTGCCTAGGCTCTCCCGCTTCCGATCCATGGAGGAGGCGGATAAAGGGGAGGTCTTCGAGAGGAACAACAAGTCGAGGCTGGACAGCCATCCGGGGGCGACGGCGGGGACGGCCTGCCGGTTCACCGACGACCTCATCCTGGAGATCCTCTCCCGCATCCCCGCCAGATCCCTCCACCGCTTCAAGTGCGTCTCCGTGCGCTGGCGCGACCTCATCGCCGACCCCGCCAACCGCAAGAAGCTGCCCCAGACCCTCGCCGGCTTCCTCTACACGACCACTGTCGGCTGTAATCGCCACCACTTCGCCAGCGTCTCCTGCGGCGCAGCCCCGTTCGACCCTTCCCTCCCTTACCTGCAGCCTGGCAAGTACAAGGACATGGCTCAGGTGGACGCCTGCAATGGCCTCCTTCTCTACCTAAGCTCCAGCAAGAACATGGTGAACCCTTGGGCTTGGGCAGAGGATGATTTCCGTTTTGTTGTGTGCAATCCGGCCACTGGGAGGTGGGTGGAGCTGCCCCCTCAACCGCAGGCGCCGGCAGACAGATTTAGGTATAACTGTATGGCAGGCCTGGCTTTTGATCCGGCAGTCTCATCCCATTTCCACGTTTTTTGTTTCGAGGAGACCACTGTGGAAACGTACATGACAGGAGTGAACATCTACTCGTCATGAACGGGAGCCTGGAGTCGCGGAGATGGTGGGATTGTTGAGAAATTGGCGCTGTTCTTCTATAGTAAGGGTGTCTTTGTTGGCGGTATGATGTATGTGATTGGCAACCCGAAGGGCATCAGCAACGAGCATGTGCTCCTGGGGATTGACATGCAAGGTAAAGTGCGGAAGACTGTCCCTATGCCGTACGGTCGAAGATTTGGTACGATGGGATCGTCGCAGGGGTGCTTACTCTATGCTGTATCTTCCGTCGATGATAACAATAAAATCCTAGATTCTGAGATAGAACTCTGGTGCCTCAAGGATTGTGACAGTAAAGAATTGGTTCTGAAGCATACTGCCAGCATCAATGAGCTTATGAGCATGACTGGGGAGGAGTACAGGGTGGCTGGGATTCACCCAGATTGCGACACCATTTTCCTGGTTTCACATGGAGGTGATACCTTGGTAGCGTACGATATGCAACATCAGAAAGTTGGTTGTATCCTTAATCTTGAGAAGAACACACAACGATTTCTACCTTATGTTCCTCTGTTCTCGGAGTCATTAGCAGATGGAGATGGGCGGTAGTGTTACCTTCAGACCACGCTTGTGCTTCCTCCAAGAATTGGCTCTTCTGCCGGCTGAAGTACTTGTTAGTGTACCTCTGAATCTGCTTGAATCATGCCGCTCAATTTGCTAGTGCTTAAACTCCTGCTTGGTTGATTTTCAGTTCAGATCAATGCCTGGTTGTTACCCCTGTTCTTGTTTACCTAGCACAGGTTGTTGTTCTGGACATGTATTAGTTCCATGTGGCTAAATTATACTGTAATCGCTCTTCCTTTCCATAACAACCAGTTATTATGGTTATCCTAAATCCTATTGCAGATTTTGAACCTGGTAGTGTAGTGAAAGGGTCAATCAGACTGGTTACTAGTGCAAATGTCTAGTTGACATTATTCATTCAGTATTTTGATAAAACACTGCCTTTGAGCAAGTTCTTTTTATGTATGGTTGCTGTAGCTAATGAATTCAGTAGAGCTCTGGATCTGTTAATCACAGAGAAATTGCATCAAATGTCAATGAAATCAAATTGGAGTGCGTACTCTTGTACAAATAGCAGCATGCAGGTGAAAGAAATCAGTACACCAGAGTTTTACTGACAGTGGTAACAACAATTTTATATTGGTTCAGGCTTGATTCAGCTTCATACACGATATTAGTTTGTGAACACGACTGAATGGCCACCAAAAAATAAGATCTCTTGGTATGGTTGATTGCTTTGGCTGTGTTGCTACCCTGTTTGAATCGGATCAACCAGCGTTGTTTCTGTGTATGTTTGTGATGTGGCGATTCCTGATTCTTGAATGTTCTTTGTAGGACTCTGGAATGCCATTTTATTCCAAGAAAACCTCCGAGATGCTCCAGAACTGATGATGTATTTATTTTAAAATTGGCATGGAATGAGTCAGACGCGTGTAACAGTTTTATATTCATAAAGAGCCGGCCATCCATTTGTCTGTCTGAACATTTGCCGCAATGAGCATAGGCTTGAATCCCAACTAGTATCATACATAATCTTGGTCTAGTGATTTTTGTTTTGTCCCTACCTGTATAGATCATTCATAATCTTTGTCTAGTGATTTTTTGTTTTATCCCTATTTGTATAGATCATACATAATCTTGGTCTAGTGATTTTTCTTTTATCTTACCTGTATAGATCATACATAATCTTGGTCTAGAGATTTTTTTTTTATAACCAATGGTGTTTACTGTTTAGTATGGATCAAGAGCCTGTAGATTTTGTTATAAACTGCCTGTCTGGTATGGCTGTAATCCTGATGATTAATGTTGTGTTTGCCACGTTCTGATTATCTTGATCATGACTGGAGGTTCAGGAGGAATGCTAAGATTCAGGTTGTGTCTGGTCTGGTACATACTACTCCCTCTGTCCCAAAATAAGTGTCTTTGATTTAGTACAACTTTAGTACAAAGTTTGTAGGTGTTAAAATTTGTAGGTTAGGTGATTAACATTTTAAGCCTGTGTACATAAACTGGGATTGGACGGGAACTGATACAACTCTTCAAGCCCGAAAGTGGATCTCTGTTCTCAGTTTTATTTTATTTTTTTACTTTTGGGGAGAATCTTGCCAAGTGAAAGCTTGTCTGATCTATTTGTTCCTGTATGTGAACATTTTTTTTTCTTGAATTCTGCAATTGATGTTCTTCAGAACCGGGCTCAAGTCTAATGCTTGTCTGTCAAATTAAAGCAGCTGAAGCAGACAGATAACGAGAGAATGTTATGCACCAGAGTTTTCTGATTGAGGTACATACTCTTGTATAAATAGCAGCATGTAGGCGAAAGAAATCAATACACCAGTTCTCACCGACAGTGGCAACACCAGTTTTACAGGAGATGATGCTTCGTGGACAAGTTCAATGCTTGTCTGTCAACATGGCTGAATGGCCACCGGAAATAAGGACTCTTGGTGCGGTTCGTTGCAGGTGAGGAATGTGGACATGTTCGATGGAGTGACCATCTTTCTGTGTTCGAGGAGGTGAAGGATGATCATGTCCTTGAAGGCACCGAAATCCAGCTCGTCTCTCGCTTTGCAACACTCATCAACATGGTTGAAACGAACACATGTGCCCCAAATGTTATATTGTTGGATGATTAGATTGTGTTGCTAAACTGATTGAGCCGGTTCAGTCAGCATTGTTTCTATATGTTTGGGATGTGATGATCTTGGTTCTAGCTGAGAAGAGATGAACTAATCAAGATTGCCATTTTATTCCAAGAAAAGCTCGGAGCTGGTGGAGAACTGATGGTGATTCCTTTAGATACGACCCTAAAATTGTATGTGCTTTGTCGTAGGTATATATAGCACTTCTCTAAATTTATTCTATTCTTTAACTTCACTTTTCTTTCCATAGAAAAGTATAGCTAGTATGAAAACAAAAGATAAATTAAATTTGTATTTCTCATCTAATCACAAGCAACTACTATTAATAAGGTATCACCACATTTGACAAAACATTACTGGAATGTACATACCTTCAGAAATTGATCAGTGATAAGCTCACTAGATCGTGATACATGTATGAGTAAACCACCAACGGCAATCAGCAGGGGCCATCGGAGCATCTTCAAGTGCCAAGTTGGACGGAGGTGCGCCGACGTCTCTGATCTGAACCCGATAGAGGGCAACTATCAGGGGGAGTTCTTTTTTTGTTTGATGGTATCAGGGGGAGTTCTTATACGGCGCTTCTTCGCGGAAGTGGCGCTCATGCAGCCACACACTTGGGCCGGCCCAACGCGCACTCTCTCGCTCGCTCGGCATGTCGCTTTGGCTGGTCACTTCCTTTGCTGTTGACTTGGTGTTGGGTTTGTTGCTGACTGGTCGCGGTTGACTTTGGAAAAAATAAAATAAATCCTAAGACAATTCGCAGAAAATCATGAATTCAAAAATGTTCATGGATTTTGAAAAATGATCACGAATTTGGAAAAAATAATCAGCGAATTAGAAATAAAGTTCACAAATTTAAAAACAGTTCGTTGATTTTGAAAAAGTACATCATTTTAAAAAAAACATCAATTTTGCAAAAAAGTTCATCTATTTTAGAAAAAAAAATCCTCAGTTAAAAAACAAATTCTGAACAAAATCATGAATTTTGGAAAAAGTTCATCTATTTTTAAAAAAAGTTCAGGAATTTGAAAAAAAGTTCATCAATTTTGATAAAACAAAAATCTGAAAAAATCATAAATTTTGGAAAAGGTTCATCAATTTTGAAGAAAAAGTTCGTGAATTTGAAAAAAGTTCGTCGACTTTGAAAAAAAAACCACAAATTTGATTTTTTATCATTTAAGAACAGCAAAAAAAGGACAAAGAAAAAAATAAAAGGAAAAAGAACAAGAAAAATAAAAAGGAACAAGAAACAGAAGGAAAATAACAATGAAGAAACTGTCTGCAAACAAAGTTTAGGGTAAGACGCACCGCTAATCACCACCACGGGCCTCAGTAGCATGCTAAAGCCACTAAATTGTACATGATGCTATTGGCGTGATTCCCCTCCAAATGATGTAGCTCGAGATAGCAAGCTATTGATAAAAGTTGGTTTTGTATTTGGTTGGATTTGTTCCGTTCGGTTTTGAACTGGGATCTTGACAAGATGATAAAATAAAACGCAACACCTTCGAGCTAAAAAAGTGAGCCTTTGTATTAAAAAAAAGAGGATGTGGCAAATATATGATGCGATAGTACTATGTGGAAAAGGAAAAAAAAATCTTTCAGGACGCAGACATATATTTGTGGGCAAGTTCCTTTAGCATATCAGATATTTCATGTTGATTTTTTTTTTTGCGGGGATGTTGATTTTTGTTTGAATGAGAGAGGGGTCCAGAAGAACCCCGAAACTGCATTGATATTGAAACAACGGTACACTGGAGAAAGCAAAAAGACCCAAAACCAACCCTAATAGCAAAACTGGTAATGCATTGATATTGAAACAATGACACACTGCATTGATATTTATTGAACATGTGTACATATACGTAGGTCTGAGTTTTATATGCCGCATCTGTAGTATCTCTCTCTCCTTATATTTACTTATATATTAAGAGACAAGATACCGGTCGCACCTCTTGTATCTATATATATGTGCCTAGTGCATGATCAATAATTATCGATGCACAGAATCATCTTCTACATGACATCTATCGCACGTCGATCCTCTCTCGCTTCCGTCCAACCCTAACCGCCGCCGCCGCTACTTCCCTGTGCCGCGCCTCTCTCACTCGCGCCCGCGTCCCGTTCCCATCGCTACGCCCACTGCCCAATCCCGCTGACCGCTGCTACGCCCGCGCTCGGTTCCTCGCTAGCCAGATCGCTAGCCGCCGATCGCTGAAACCGCTACAAGCCTCGCTAGTCGCTCGCTAATAGCACAAATTGTGTTGACCGCTGCGTCCACTTCCAGATCGCCAGTCGTCGCTCGCTACGCCGCGCGTGCTTCCTGCCTCACCCGCGCCGCTGCTTGCCTGCATCGCTGCGCCGCACCACCACCGAGCCACCATGTCTTCCTCCGCCTCCTCCTACTCCAATTCCTTTGCCGGACCGGACCCCGCTGACATCCGCAACATCAACATCCCCGTTGTCCTTGATGCCACCGACACCATGTACTTCGCGTGGAAGACGTACTTCTCGCTGCTCTTCCGCGAGAACAACCTGGTGGATCACGTTGACGGCTCCGTCGACTCCCGCGTCATGGCGGGCGACTCCGAGTGGACCACGATCGACGCCATGCTCATCCGGTGGTTCTTCACCACCATCTCGAAGGACCTGTTTCACACGGTCGTGGGCGATGGTGATGACGCCCACGTCGTGTGGGTCAAGCTCAACGGTCTCTTCACCGAGAACAAGCTTCAGCTCCGTGTGTTTTTACAGCAGGAATTTTTTGACTGTCATCAGGATGATCAGTCTATCGATGACTACTGTCGCCACCTGAAGACGTTGGCGGATGAGCTCCGTGACATTGGCGCCAAGGTTGATGACGACCTCCTCCTCAGCACGCTCACTGCCGGCCTCAACGAGGACTTCGGTAACGCCGCTTCCAACCTCTCCCTCATACCGGAGCCCTCCTTCCCCAAGTTCGTGGCATACTTGCGGTTGGAGGAGCGCCGAATGAAGGGAGTCAAGAAGCGCGTGCAACACCACACCCTC